TATTTCGTAAAATTTCAGTAGTCATAATTAATACACTCGCTGTTGGATTTATAGTAACATCACCCGTTACTAAACCAACGTCCTTAAATTCCTCATGAAATTCTCTATATTTTTGATTACTCAATGCTTTAATCGGAGTAGTATATATTACTCTTTGCTTATCCCTAAGGGAACATGCTATTGCATACCTGTATAGAAGACAGATGGAATAAATATTAAAAAGTTATTTGAAAAAAATATTTTCTGAAATAAATTTAGATATTAATAGAAAATTAGATATTTACTCAGCCACAACGGTTTTACCAGCTGATGTATGCGCAGATACTAGAACCGATTGATTATTTTCAATACATAAAATTGCTTCCTTTTGGAAAGGATCAAGAATAAATTTATATTCTTTGGCTGGCTTGCTCTGTTTACATTCCAAAGGTATATATTCTTGATCAGGTGGCACAGCAATCTCATGCATACAAGATTCTGCAGTTTCTATAGTATGCACTTTGATACGACATGCCACCTCTTCTAGACTAAAGAGATAACATTCAACATATGCTGTATTCTTTTTTATAGCATAAAGAAATAAATATATACATAGAAACAAAATTATTTTAATTGATGTTAAGTAATATTAAAATAATATTAATATAATATTAAATAATAATAATAAACATTATATTAATAATATTATAATTATAATCTTATAAACGTTTTAATTATTAATATGACAGAACTTTACTTGATATCATCTAAGAGAGATTCGTGTCGTAATTTTTTAACAGCTGACTTATCATCATCAATATCATGTTGTCGTTTCACTCTCGTTTCTCCTTCGATTTTCCTATAAATTTGTTTTGAATAAATGATTCGCAACTACGCGATGTTGACTTATAATCAGAGGTTATAGATAGAGGTTATAAACAAAAATTAACTTAAATTCCGTCTTAATAATCCTTTCACTTACTTCGAAATATCCGGTATTTGTATATCATCGCCATCTTCATCAAAAACATCAAATAAATCCTCAGTAAAATTCGCCATTATTAATTTGTACTTGTTATTTTAACAATTCGGAAGAACATGCTTTTTCTTAAAAGTTTGTTCGAGTTTACTATAATTTACTGATCGATAATAGGTTGTGTTCGGAAGGCAAACGCTGTTTTGATAACGAATGATCGCTATTGGTCACATTAGGACCGGTCTCACCAATCTCGATTAACCTAATATGTCGATTATCCTATTAGAATTGACCAATCGCATTTGTTATTTTTGTTAACGAGAAGTTGGTAAGACTAGCCCTTTGAGCAGACATTTATTTTTACTTTTGGAAGTTCTCTATGGCCGCATTCTGATACTTACTGCTAGTACTGAAAATTTATAACATACGTGACCTAAATTATATATTTTTAGTATTGACAGTGAATATTGGAACACAGCCCATATTGACTGCGTTTAGCAGAAAAAGCAGCTTTGCAATTGTTATAAAATCCTTTAATATGATTGGTTTATATATTAAGACTGATTGCACACAGGACACGACAAAGCGACAACGTGGTAACCAATCATCATCTTGTTTTCTAACATATCTTCGTCACATAGATGGTGATTGGCTACCGCGTTGCCGCATCCTGTGTGCAACCAGCCTTAGGATCGGAGCACACACTTCTGCAAAATGCACAACGCATAAGAAAATGAACCAATCATAGTCCTCCATTTCCACCCTCCCCCGGCCGCCAATAAAAACGAAAGATTCTGATTGGTTAGTTTTCTTATGCGTAATGCATTATCCGTTACGTAAAAGTGTGCTCTGGCCCTTAGATCCATGAGGAATGGCAAAAATGAATTATATCAAAGATCTTTACACAGTTGCAAAGCTGCTTTGTGTGCTGAATGCAACTATTATTCCTCTAAAATTTAGAAAAATAATCCAATTTCAATATAAAATAACTTTCAATAATTATAAAATAAAGATTAATTTAAAAATTTTATTTAGAGAAACGAAGTAATAAAATACATGATTTATTTATATAGTTTTTCGTACTCTATTCTTTTCTTTTTTAGTATAT